ATAATGTAGGTCAACTATCAATATATCAGGATAATGTAGGTCAACTATCGATATATCAGGATAATGTAGGTTAGCTATCTATACATCATGGTAATGTAGGTCAACTATCTACACATCATTATCACTATAAAGGTCAACCATTTATACTTAAGGATAATGTAGGTCATCTGTCTGAATGTATATGGGTCAGCTATCCTCATCTGAAAGATTATGTACGTCAACCATCTACATGCATGTTATGATGATATAGGTCAACCATCTACATATTATGATGATATAGGTCAACCATCTACATGTTATGATGATATAGGTCAACTGTCGTCTACTTGCTGTGCTAATATAAAATATGATAATATAGGTCTACACATTGAGACAATGTAGGTCAACGGTCTACACATTAGGATAATGTAGGTCAATGATCTACACATTATAACGATGTAATTCAACTACTTCCACATTTAGATAATGTAGGTCAACTATCTACAATTTGAGAATATATAGGTCAACTATCAAAACATCATGATAATATAGGTCAACCAGCACACTTAATGATAATATAGGTCATATATCTACACATTATGATGATTAGGTCCACTATCTTCAAGTTATGATGATATAGGTCAACGATCTACACACCATGATAATATAGGTCAACGATCTACACAATATGATAATGTAGGTCAATTATCCACACATTAATTTAATATAGGTCAACTATCTACAGGTTATGTTAAAGTAGGTCAACTATCTACACATGAGGATAATGTAGGTCAGCTATCTACGCACTATGATGAAGTAGGTCAACTATCCACACTTTATGATAATATAGGTCAACCAGCACACGTAATGATAATGTAGGTCATTTAACTACACATTATTATAATATAGGTCAACGAGCACACAAAATCATAATGTAGATAAAACCTTCTACACAATATGATAAATATTAAGTCAACAATCTACAAGTTATGATAATATAGGTCAACGATCTACACACCATGATAATGTAGGTCAACGATCTAAACACCATGATAATATAGGTCAATGATCTACACGCCATGATAATATAGGCCAACGATCTAAACACCATGATAATATAGGTCAACGATCTACACGCCATGATAATATACGTCAACGATCCACACACCA